TATTTAAAAATATGCTATTTTCAAAGTTTGCTAATATATACATATGAGTTTATACCACACAGAGGGATAAATGCCTCTTTCAGATGCCGTAGGTTATCACACAAAAAGTCCAGTTATCAGGTATGGAATAACCCCTTTGAGTTTCTGGTCAATGGGTATTATAGAATCCAACACACACACACACACACACACACACACACACACACACACACACACACACACACGGGGAAAAAGGACAGGTCATTGCCACTGCTATAAATTATCCAATAGAACCTGATGGAAGGGCTCTGTTTCTGAAGACATTGCATATTTTGATCACAAGACATGGAGGAACCCATCCTGACCTCCTCCCTACTGGCTAGCTTTCATAAGGCACTATTCAGGCTACTGGGGAATGAACATCCATCAGATATCTTACTTACCTGTGAAACATGACAGCTAAAACAAGGTGGCATGAACATTTTAAGGGTAACCAGCTACTTTCTGATTGTTGCTAATGCCTGGTGCTGTAATTTCCTCCTTCCAAGCCCTCCCATGTAGTCCTCTTGCTCTCTCATCTTCGTAGCCTCTTTTCCCATTAATCGTTATTATATGCATATATGTATATACATAATTTGTCATTGTATTCATATATGTTTATACATACATATTCTTAAATATCGCCAGCCCTGTCTATGGAATGTTACTTGCATGTATGTTGTCAGGGCTGGAACGTAGGTACTGGATAATCACTTGCTGTGTTCCTCAATGGAGATCATTTCTCCCCCTCAACCTTCCTTAGATATAGGCAGGATTTGTGTAGGGCTGAGGCCTCGTGGGCTTTCCCCCCTTTTGCTTTAACATGTTCATTGGTGCCTTCCTCATTCAGCAAATGTGTGAAGAGCCATGTTGGTGAGCCTTTATGCACACAACTCCTATATCACTAGGAGACACAATCTCAAAGCAAACTCCCTGGTACTCTGGCTCCTACAATCTTTCTACCCTCTCATTCACAATGTCCCCTGAACCTTAGGTGTGGTAGTGTTCCATAAATGTAGCCATTGTGACTGGCCCCAACAACTCTGCTCATTGACTAATGGTGAGGGAATCTACACCCAAAGACAAGCATTTCATGTTCTACACATCTTCAATGCCTGTTTTAAAATGATGCTCTCCCCTTTTCCATTACATATGCAAGAGTGTATGTGACACATGGATCAAGTGTTGGGATGAACCACGACAGTCTCACTAACCTCTGGAGGGCCACAATCACACTCCTCTGGTGCCTCCAAATGCGTGGTTGCCACACTGTGCTATGTTGGGGCAGAGCGACAACCTCTGGCTCTGGCTCCTTCCTGAGGCAGTCTAGGGCAGGCTGTGAAGCCAGCTGTTTGAATGCATCCATGCTGCAGCTGCTAAAAACCTTGATGCCCTGCGAACGTCTAAAAATAAATTATTATCCCTCAGATAAAAGGAACGCAACAGTTATTCAAGTAACATAACGTGTACGGTTCCCCGAATATTCACATTACAGGAAGAGAGAGAGTCACCTCTGCTTTTAATGCTGGCCAGTTAAAACAAAAGCAGTGCTGTTTCTATTGTAATTTCTTAGGATCAATATACAGAAAGTGGAGGGAGGTAGAGCGCTCCAGGCCTCAGCTTCAGGGCACACACGAAAACACTGCAACAGTTTCAACAGAGTTAACAATACCAGAAGCTCGATGCAGGTCTGAGAGTAGGATTGCTACCATACCCACCTGCCATATAGTGAAGAGGGTATTTCCCCTAGTTTTTCCTACTTTTTCCTCTCTAGTGCTTGAAAGCCTCTGGGGAGACCAAGACTGATGCTTCTGGTTGGACGTAGTTTTGCATGTGGCTTCCATAGTCTCCTTCATTCATCACACAGGCTCCTCCTCCCTTGGGAAGATTCCATGTCCTTCAGCAACCCTCAACCTACCCCCTGTGCCGTAGCTTCTCTCTTCACCTCACGACTTCTCTCAACACCATCTGACCATAATTTCAATTCTGTCCCATGGCTGAAGGTTTGTGCACTCTAGAGCACTTGTCCTTGAGGTCCAAGTTAAAATGCAGTGTATTTTAACGGATTTCTTGGAAAGACTAACAGACAACTAATAGGAAGCCAGATGCAACAAATGAAACCGTTCAGAATATTTCAATCTTTAGTAGTGCACTGTGATAGCCAAGAGCCTGCCTATGAGTGACTCTTCAATGGCTTTACTTTGCAGTGTTAACAAATCCCTATGGATGGTCATGAGTACACTCTTCTCCCTCAGAGACTGTGTCTGATCTCCATGTGGGGCATCGCACACATTCTGCAGGATACATTTCATTATCCATGCTGTGTTAACTAACTGCGTAACACTTAGCTTATTATGAAATCTCCCAGTCTGCAAAGATCTCGGCTTCTGCCCTCCACCTCTCTCTCATCCCCTTATTCTTTCCCTGAATCTGACTCTTTAGCCAGGCTGCCCTTCGCTTTGTTGCCCCAGGCCCTACAATGTTCTTCCTTATAGTCTCAGTAGCATCTAAGTTGTTTTGGAACCTTTTATCTCCCTCTGCCCCAATGTACACAGCCAAATCTCCTTATCCACGGGTCTGCTGAGCCCTGGAGCCTTCTCTGTTTAGCATTGATGCATTTCTTCCATAGAGGCATATTGACAATACTGACAAAAGAGCCCATAAGTCAACACTCACTCCATATACGAGCAGCTGACTGGATGCTGGCTGTAAAGAACTGGCAAGCATGTTTTCAGTAATACCCTGAGCTCGTTCTGTTCTGCGTGCTTTAAATATTGTGCATGCATTCATTTAAGCTGTTGTTAGTCGGTGATACTTGGTCAAAGTGTAAGTCAGGACACACTGCAAGTATTTCCTAAGCGTCTACAGAGACCTGACCTGGAGATGCCCCTTACATTGCTGAAGGGTTCATGATGCAGGTGCTTCCGGGACAGAAGCAGTTGTAGACATCGTCATATGTTAACCCCAGGTTAATCCCAAGCAGCTGTGACAGGACAGCAGCAAAGCCCTCCATGGTTAAGGTCTTTGGATGCTAGGCAGAGAAAAGGAACAGAATTAGTGTGTCAGTCCTGTTTCTCCTCCCCCTCTTCCTCCTCGTCCTCCTCCTTCTCTTCCTCCTCCTCCTCTTCCTCCTCCTCCTCCTCATCTTCCTCCTCCTCCTTCTCCTCTTCCTCCTCCTCTGCCTCATCTTCCTCCTCCTCCTTCTCCTCTTCCTCCTCCTCTGCCTCTTCTTCCTCCTCCTCCTCCTCTTCCTCTCTTGCTCTTCCTACTTCTTCCTGTTTGCTTTCTCAGGCTTTATTTGGCAATGGTACCTAAATTACAACGCAAATTCAAGAAACTGGACCAAAAAAACTCTTAAGACTGTAAAATGCAAAAAAAAGGAGCAAATTGTGATATTCGTTTTTAAGCAAAATCTTTTAAGCCAAATGGAGCTGACATATAGGAAAATAAAGTTGCTGTGAAAAAACTTGCATTTGTCTGTTTGTAGGTCTGGTTAATCTATGGGGCCTCTAGCAGTGCATCAGTATTTATCCCTAGTACAGGAATGGATGTTGGGAGCCCAGTCCACATAGAGGTATATTCTCTCAGCCTAGACACACAGCAGAGGGTGTAGGCCCTGCTGCAAATTATATGACAGACTTTGAAGATCACCCATGGAACGCCTCACCCTCCCTGGGGAGCAGAATGGGGATGGGATAGGTGGTTGGTGAGGGCGGCAGGGCAGGAAGAGAGGGAGAGGGTACTGGGATTCACATGTAAAACAGGTCTGTTTCTGATTTAAATGGAAAAAAATGAAAAGAAACCTTACATTTCTTGCATATTATTGTATAGAATTCAAAAAAAGCATAAAAACGTCTAGGGAAGAGGAATAATCTTAGTGACTATTTTTTTGAGATGATAATTAGGAAAAATTTACACCATGAAGATTTAATTGGTAATCAATTTATACTTTAGAAATTGAAGAAAATTTTTAATTTAAATAAAATTTTACTTATAACTGAATTAAATTTAGTATTTTGGCCAAGTGCAATGGTAAACAACAAAATCTATGAAATATACATGCAATGAAAGAGATCAAAATCACCAAAAATTAATAACACACACAACAGTGATTTAGTACAGGAGGGGTTAAAACATCTAGAATCTATACAGCGTATACACAGCATAGATTCGAAGGAAGACAGGAAAATAATATATATGATAGCAAAATGATAGCAAAAGTGGAAGCATGAACTCTTTCCCGAAGACAAACTGCTTTGAACACGAATGAATTAAAAATCCCCCCAATAAAAGTATAGGTTGGCAGAGTGGATTAAAATTAGAACAGCCACATGAAAAAAGCATTCACATATTTTTATGTTTACTATATCTATAAACTAGCTGAAAACAAAGTCAAGACCTAAGTGAGAAGGTCACAACTACTGAGGAGAAGATAACAGGAAAGATTCAGGGTGTGGTCTCTACCACACCCCAGAAGGATGGGAGTAAAGGCAAAGATGAGCAAAGAAACTTCTGCCACTGTCTTAAACATCCCTGTTTCAATGTCATGATAAAACCAAAGTGAAGATAAACACATATAGGAATTAAAAAAATTTATAGATTCCACGTCTGACAAATGGATTAATATCCATAATGTAGAGAATGTCCACAACTCAACAACAAAGCAATAAATCACTTAAAAACATAAGTCAAATACTTGAATAACTATTTCTCTGGTAATATGTGCCAAAGTCTATCAAGTATATGAACTGGTATGGCATCATTTGACATGGCAGAGACACAATCAAAAGCAATGAGAAGATGTAGCATCATGCACATTAGCCTCTCTCTACTAACTAAAAGAAAACAAAGTAACTTTGAGTGACTATGCAGCTAATTATATGTTGGCAAGAGGATTATAGACTGGTATAGCCTCTTTCAAAGCAAATATTACATCCCACAAAAATATGAGTAACAAGACAGATCCATAATTCAGCAAGCTGACCTCTGAACAGACAACTAAAGAGGTATCTGCCCTATTGTGTGCCTTGAAACATGGTGAAGAACAAGAGCAGGGGAATAAAGGAAGCATCTGTGGAATGGACAGATATATTAATTCAGTCATTAAAAAGGAAATCTTGCATGCATTGTGGGATAGGTAGAACTTTAAGTACATTGCATTGCTTGCAATAACTCTATCCCAGAAAGACATACTGAACCATCCCACTTACATGTAGACCCCAAAGTTGTTATGACAGTAGAAATAGAACATGAGATGGCATAACCTAGGACATAGGAATGTCTGCTTGATTGATACAGAGATTCATTTTTAAAGATAAAATTATCTTGAGAATTACTTTACAATAAAGTGAGTACAGTTACCATCACAGAACTGGTTGGAATCCCAACTTCAGGGTGGTTTCCCTAACCAGACCAACTCTTTTATAAGTTATAACATTAAAAGTCTAAAAAATACTATTATAAAAAAGTATGCAAATACATTCCTAGTCTTTTCATTCAAGGGACAGGGACAACAGAAGGCATACCAGAGCGATTCCTGCTGTAAACTTTGGGTTGCAGGCCATCCCGTGATATGTCGCTCCCACATAATCAGGGTAATCCTTATACCTAAATTGAAATTTTATATCAATGCACTTGTTCCAAAATGTTGCTAGAAAGGACATTTAAGCAGTGGATTCCTGTAAGTTCTGTATCTTTAAAACATGGTATTCATGTGCAATATGCTTCATGCTACCAGCCATTGATTGATTAGTGAAAGCACAAATTGTATGTCCTCCTTTCTTGATAGGTATTTAAGTTAAAATGATGCTTAGGATTCTATGATACCCAATCCAAAACCTAGAGGTGCCTGGTATTTCCATAACCTGTCCCACAGGATCCCCATCACTGGATGTTATATTGACTATAAACTCTAAAGGCCAGTGTTACCTATTATCAAGCTGTTCACATATTGGACAAATCTTAAAACTGTATACAGTGTTGAACCAGAGGAGAGGGAGAAAGAAAGAGAGGTACAACAAGAAAAAAGCGGTAGTATGCAGAAATTAGCCAATTAGTTTTGCTTTCAAATACCCAACCCTGGCTTTGAACCTAAAAGGAGGCAAGAGACGACATGTAGTTCCTTTTAAATCGCTTGAGATCTTCGTGAGTGAACATCTCCTATTTTCATATAAAATGATTGAGTGAGGAATGATGAAACCTACATGAAGACTCTCAAAGCATGCACAGCAAGTAGCTAACAGCTATATGTCAGGTCACTATACAAACTGGAGAGTAGACATAGGTGCAGGGAAGTGACCGGTCCAGTTCAGTTATTAACCATCTTAACCAGCAACATGCAACATGGGTAATTACTGTATTCATAGCATTAACATCATGGTGTGAACATTTCCCAGTGACTCTTTATAAACACAGACGTCCACATTCATCCTGCTGCTTTTCATACCCCCACCCTAGTGCTGAGGTAGAATGGGGTGATGGGTGCTGGGGAACCACATTTGAATACGTGATCAGATCTTTACATTTTGCTTATGCTGGCACAGCTACATGCACAGGACTTTGACAGTTGCCTTTGAATGGTTAGGCAAGTCCCCATCGGTGTAGATAAAGTACTTACAGGAGTAAATACGTGATAATCCTGCCTCTTTCAGATGGCTGGCTCTGTTTCCACAACTGAAACCTTTGCAGAACTTCATCAGCAACCCCATTTGTGTCAATCTTGTTTTGGTCTGACCAGATCTCTAGAGAGGTTAACATCACAGTCATCTGCAGCTGGGAAAACATCTGAAAGGACAACTCTCTTCAGTTTCAGTGGCCAGTCTTCCTGCCCTGTCTGTAAATGCTGAGGTTCCATTCACCTTATTGCTTAGAGGAGATAACCCAACTCATGGGTCAAACTGCAGGGAGGAGTACACACTTCCTATAGACACGTGGCTAATCACAGAAACGATGTCAGTGGGTTAGCATTATTCTCTTACTTCAACCACAGCAGAAGTACTCACCGTGTTAATGAGACCAAAGATATGAACAACTTTCTGAATTGCAACTCCCATCTTGGAGCCCATATGGTCAAACTGAAAGACAAGTTTGTGTCTTGATTACCACTATAACTGATCAAACAATCACTCTTTAATAGTTTCAAATACACAAGTTAAAATAATGCAGTACTCAACTGAAGACGCAAAGTGAAAATGTGTTAAAATTGGTTGTCAGTTAATCCTCTGTGTTTGTAATCTTTCCTAGTTACTGTCTTTCCTGTGGTTTACACATAACCCAGGGTCTTAATGATTGAGACTATTAAAAGGGATAGCTGTAATTAACTTCCTCCTAGGGGCACAGAAATTAAGATTGGATGTATCAAAGTTCCAGAGCACATAACTTATAAGGACAAAATCCAGGCATCTGTCACTGACTCACGATAACCTCATTCCCTTCTCTATCATGAAGGCTTCATTGCAATTAAAGAAACTCAGGATGTATGCCAGCTGGTGGGAAACTACCAGAGTATACCTGAGTTTAAGGAAATGATAGTCATAATACTATCTGAAAATATTGTTTATGATTGTGTGTTAATTACATTTATAATTTACATGATTCTTTTTAGTAGCAAGCCAATTAACAGTAGACACATAGAGGTTTGAGACACCAAGTCAAACATTAGCTATAATGTGCGTACATAGAAACTTGTCTGTAGTACGGACAGACTATACATAAATATAAAACATGGTCTTTCTAACACCAACTTTGTGAATACTGGGCAGAGGAGAATGCCCATCCATACAGAGACAGGAAATGCTGCTGTGCTGTTGTTCAAAAACCCAAAACTGTTGGACAGGTTAAAATGTTCACATCTGGGAGGCCCAGACAACGTCAGATGAGAAAGAGTTGCAGACTCTTCCACAAGCCCAGGAGGAAGTTGGCAATGCACATCTGGTGATGGTGCTTAACCGGACGCAGACGAAGTCATACAACCCGTGACACTGCTTGATTGCAGCACGTGGGACAGACACAGAGGCCCACTAATGCACAACGTGCAGGGATGGAGACACCCAATTCCAAATGGGATATCTCCATCGAATCTCTGTCCTGGGGGCTAGAGGAGGCAGGGAGACTGTCAGAGCCAGAGGTGATGGGGACACCAGGGAAACAAGGCCTTCTCAACACAGCAGGATCCAACACACATGAGCTCACAGAGACTGAGGCAGCATGCACAGGGTCTGCAAGGACCTGCACCAGATGGGATCCCAGTGCTAAGAGGAGCAGAGGCACAAGTCCCCATCCCCAAAGCTGTCTCCAAGTGATAATGGCTTGCAAATGATAACATAGGTTTCGCCAAGGGAGTCTCACTCTTAGGGGCAGGTAGGCCCCAAGCCCAGCAATAGATGGAGAGCACAAAAAGAACCCAGGGGCATCTTTAGATGTTCCTTATCTCATAATAGATCAGGGCATTATTCCTTTTCTTTTTTTAACAACACAAGTCCTTTAGATATATTATGGCTTCCAGTTTGGGGTTTTTATGGAATTCCTGTGTGTGCAACCTTTGCGTTTCTGGATCTATATGTGTTTCATGTGTTGATTTTCTTTTGGTTAGGCTTTTAAACTTCTGTTTTGTTCTATTCTGATTCTTTTGGTTTTGTTTTATCTTATTTCATTTTATAATTATTCTTTAGATGCCTGTTTGTCTTCTTAGAAGAAACTGAAAAGGTGTGGATTTGGATGGGAGGGGAGTTGGGAGGCTCTTGCAGGAGTTGGGGAAGGAGGAAGTGTAATCAAACTGTATTCTAAGAAAAGTATATTTTCAATAAGAGGAAAATAGAAACTGGAAAATTGATTAAAATAATTTATTCTGTAGACTATGGCACATGTAAATATTAACTAAGGTGAAATCAAAATGCCTGGTTAAGTGATGTGGTACAATGAATCCATGCCATGAGACTAAGTGACTCAGTAAACCATGGGCTTGATACTAGGAACCAGAGAATGGTGAGCTGACCAAACAGTCAGTACTGGACAGGAAATGAGATTCCCAGCGGGGAAGAAAGGCAGTGTACAAATACTGTTTGGGGAGGAGAGTGCAAAGTAACTAGAGTGCTAAGGAACTACCTTTTCATCTGTAAATCATGCAGCTCCCACTCAAGAAGCCAGCTAGCTGTGACACAGAAAATAAGCTCAGGAAGTAAATATTTGAAAATGCAATCCAATTTTACACTTAATGTACTAACTTCCAGTATAATGGAAATGAGATCTAGATCTCAATAAAAATCGAGGTGCACCTGCTAGTCTCTCTGCTGAAGTAAGATGGGAGACTGTGTAGTAGAACCTGTTCATGCAGTTATATGGCTTTACTACAATCCCCTCACACCAGCATAAGGACAACTGATATGATATGTCGTTATGTACTCCAACACTTTGGCACATTATTTTGAGCAGAGAGAAAGAAATGATTATCTTTTGAGACAAGAATTTCCTGGGTTGTTGGAAATTCAACCTCTCTGCCTGCCCATCCTAAGTGTTGGAATTACTGGCACATGTCATCATGACTGACACTTGAACAGAGTAAATACATTTGTATAAAACAGTGAAAAGCAGACTGGAAAGATAGCTCAGCAATTAAGAGCACTTACTGCCCTTCTAGAGCACCTGAATTCAATCCCCCAAATTCACAGGGCCACTCACAGCCATCTGTAACTCCAGTTCCAGGGCATCTGCCTCCCTCTTCTGGACTCTGAGAGTACTGTATGCACATAGTACATAGATCTACACAATGTAGGCAAAACACTGCACACATTGAAGAATGATAACATGAAAACAGGAAGGAAGGAAGGAAGGAAGGAAGGAAGGAAGGAAGGAAGGAAGGAAGGAAGGAAGGAAGGAAGGAAGGAAGGAGTTAGTTTAAGTTATATATACACAATCCTTACTCAATCTCACTACAAAACTAAGACCTCAGGAAGACAGGTCAGTCCTACCATGGCTTTATCCATGACAATCTTCACATAAAGGGTCCTCTTCATTAGTGACACATCTGAAGTTTTCTGTGAAACAAACAAACAAACAAAAACCGTCAATATAATAAAATCTTCAATCAGGTAACCACATGTCTGTTAAGAGTCCTGGTTTAGTACTGTTTACTGTACTTATTTCAGTAACAGGTATGACAGATATAATCTCTAGTCTTGGGATTCTTTAAATGTTCTACAGACAGTTTGACTGGAAAGAAACTGTTTGATATCATAAGGCAAACAAGGATAACCTTGCTTTAGTTCAATTCCTGATGCTTCCTTTGCTGGACTATTGATGAATGTCTTCAATTGAAGATAAGGCATGTATGAGAATTACCTATTGTTTATTTTTAAAATGAAATACATGAGTCACATTGTATCTCATTGCTGATTTGGTTTGTGGATTTGGTTTGTGGAACATATTTTTTGTAACAAGGCTTATTTATTTCAACACTTAATATTTAATAGCATGAAATGTGCATATATATATATATATATATATATATATATATATATATATATATAGAGAGAGAGAGAGAGAGAGAGAGAGAGAGAGAGAGAGTTGCTTTCTGAGATGATAGAAGCCAGTTGATCCAGTGTCTGGTGAGGAATCCAGAAACCTGGAACTCGCAGGCCAGGAGCTCACAGCTGGAGACCCAGAAGGACATGACATTGAGGTTCTAGTTGAATCCAAAGACGACTGTTTGTGAGAGTGGGTTTTCTGTTCAGCCTTCAACTGATTTGACCAGGGCTCCTCATGTGATGGAGTACAACTTTGCTATTCAGTTTATGACTATCAGCTTTATGGATTTCTGTGTAAATTTGTTGGCCTTTACTCAAATCCACACTTTCAACAATTAAATAAAAACAAGGTAAGGGAACAGTGAAGGGTAGTTTGTCATTAATTAGATTCAAGCTTCATTCACCATTGATTTTTTTGGTTAATTCTGTTTTATATAGTAAGGATGTATATCTAGAAATTAACTTGTTCGGGCCACTGGTGATCAACCATGACGGTGAGCAACATTGTAACAGGAGATGTGAGGATACATACCAACAATCATTTTGGAAGAGTGCCTGCTATTGGCTGACATTATTTATAAGAAAGGTTAATTTTTCTATATTCCTCAAATTAATTTGCTTATCAAAGGGAAAATATAAGGTGAAGCTGATATAATTGCATGAAGTATGTACTTTCCATATAAACCAATATATATTTACATATTCTGTCAGAGACAGAGTGAAAGCACTGTGCAGAATGAAAACAGTGAATACCAAAGCACCTCCTGACTGGAGAAAATGATATTTTGGTTCATTCCTATTTTACATTTTTCCTTATACACCTGTTTATTTAGCATTTTAGTACATTAACTTGCCAATATTATTTAATTTAGAAAGTAATAAATGTAAAATAAATGAGCAAAATATGAAATCACATTAATAGAAAAATTTTAAGATAACCATGACTGGATTATTTTTCCTAAAAAAAAACTAGACATTTATGGCAAAGCATATGACAGCAAATACACCAAAATTCTATTTATTGTAATGAGTCATTTTACTTTCAAAGTTTGTAGCAAAGTAATGCTTTTTTACAAAGCAAATAAATTGACAAAGAAAATACAAAGTATCAGTAGATAAATCCAGGACCGATTATGTTAATGGGATGCAAATCTACACAAATAGCAACTACAAGCACCTATACAAACTACCCATACAATAACTATACAAACTATTATGACAAGTATTGATGAGTTTTTAAATTATATCTACTTGTTCTTCTCTTAAGACGTTCTGAGGAAACCAATGATAGCTTAAAATAATTACCATACAACAGTTTCACTTTGTTTTCCCAATGTACCCAGTCTCAAAATCAATGTAAATAGCCCAGATGAAGGACCAACTCACCTCTGGTTTTACAAGAATTCGGTAGGACTGACTTTCATGATGGGGATTTAAATTTTCTTTTAAGGGGGAATAATCAATTTTATTATTCTTTATTTGATAAATCATGTGTTCAAATGTAGCTGAAGACTCTAGTGGCTCAATTCCATAAGTGATGTTCTCTAACTGCAACAAGCCCCTAAACATATAAAGAAAATGAAGCACAATTACTATAGGCTTCCTGCTGACAAATCACACTCAAAGTATCCTCTATAAATTCTATCTATTAAGTTTCAAACCCAATGTTATTCCGGTTAGTATTCAGGCATCTATACCTGCCTGTCCTTGGGGTTCTGACAGGACACGCCCTCAGCTGTAGTCACTAAGAGCACCACCTGTGCACATTCACTATGTTCCCTTTTAAAAGGGCCCTGTCCACCTCCCATCCTTCTCTGTTTCTCCCCCTCTCTATGTTCCTCTCTCTCTCTTTTCCTCTCTCTTTCTCTCTCTATGTTCCTCTGTCTCTCTCTCTCCTACTCTCTCTGCCCCTCTTTCTCCTTTCCTCTCTTCTCTCTCCTGCTCCTCCTTTCTCCAGATGCCTGTCTCCCCCTCCCCCTTTCCCTTAGTATGATCCATTTCCCAAAAACAAAACAAAAAAAACTTTGCTTGAACCCTGTCTCATGGTATCTTTCTGTCAGGTACTTTTCTTAAATTACAACAATACCTATCTTCCCTCCGTTATGGCACTTAAGAAAAATTGTGGTCTGATGTGGCTAGAAAATGGGAATTCTCTCCCTGCTCATGGGTGGTTTCTCTGCTTAGGGTTTATGATGGTAAAATGCAAAGAAGCCTAAAAAAATGTACATGGAAGGACAAGACAGGGAGCTGAGAGTAAAGGAGGTATATAAACACAGCCACCACAGTCTACAGCTCTGTCTTCTTCCTTTTTATTTTTCCTTTTCCTGTTGTTTTTTTGGGGGGGGGCCTCATTCTGTGAAAACTAAGGTTTGACAAACAATCTTAGTTCACACTTCCAGAGTGGTACCTGAGACCTGAACAAGTGCTGAGGGTCACAGTTGATGCTGGGATCTCGGCAACGTGTCCTTGATAAAAGCAATGACCCTAAGAAGGAGCAGAAGGAATGTCATAACTGATGCCCACAGGAAGCCCTAGGGGTCATGCAAGCTTCCTGACAATGACAAATTTCCAGTTCAGCCATTGCTTTTATGTGTCCACGTCCAGTGTCCTTCCCGTCTCCCGCACATACTTCCTCGGCACCTTACTGTGCTTCCCTCATCATTATTTTCCTCTCTGAAATATGGTTGCTATGACTTTAAGTTTTACCACTACTTATCCTATTTATTGGTATCTTTACCTTTTAAGCAGGATTGCCGAAGAGTATAGATTAGACACACTAGCTTATGATTTATAACATTTGGCTGGGTTCAATGATGAACATTTGCAGTCAATGTTTCTGAGTCAAGAAAGAAGGGATTTTTGAAGTTTTTGATCATTTATCTTGCATATCTGTGTGCAGCTGTCACAGTGGACAAACAGAGGTCGCTTTTCTCCTTCTACCACGTGGGACCCGGGGATGGAACTCAGATCATCATGTTTTGTAGGAGTTGCTTTGCTCACGGAGCCATCTGGGAAATCCATAACTATTTAACTGACATGTTCCCACCTTGCTTTATCTTAATATCTGACTAGGTAGGTAATTAATCATCGATAGTTAACACTCTTCCCCCTTGACTTCATCGGTGTTAGTGATTCCCAAATGTCCCCTCAATAATCCTTAGTGAATTCTTCTCCCGCCTTGGTCTACATTGCAGTCATTTGCAGGAACTTTCCTTCCTATCGCTGCAAAACTTCACTTCCAACTCGCTGACTCCTTCAAATCTGTCTACATATTAAAAGCATTCAGGCATAGATCTCCATTTAGCAGGGCATTAACCACATCCCAAACCTCATCGGCAACAACTCCAGTAGCAGACTGGATCTAGCCACAAGGGCAGTCATTAGAGCCCTTATAAGCCCAACATACACCTAATGCACTCACACTCCAGGGCTTTGCCCAGACAAGGCTATCTGCACTCCGGAGCAGGTGAAACACGAGGAGCAACAGCCTCCTCAAGTGATACCAACAGCCCTTCCCGAAGAAGTAATCCAGGTCCCGACCTACTATTAACCACAGGTGAGATGACTTCTGAGAGATCTGACACTGCCTCCCTGTAAGAGGTCACCCAACACCTACACAGCAAAAGTCACTCAGACAGAAGTGAAACAGAAAAGCATGAGATCAGCAATTAACAAGAGGAAAGCCAGAGACAATCCAGTCTGTCCCAGGAGCCTCACAGGATCCATGCATCGAAGCATACCATGTGGGTCCAGGGCCTAGGCGATATACCCACACTGGAGCCAGCAAAGAGGCTGACTATGTTTATGACCGTGCCTTACTGTTTTTATTTCTGTAGATCTATAGTATGACTTGAAATCTTGCATGGTGATACCTCCAGAAGGTTCTGTTGTTGTTTGTGTTTTAGTTGTTTAGTAGTTGTCATTCATTGCACACAATATGATATACCCATGTGGAAACACCACACACTCTAGGCCCTGATAATGGGTACAATTGATAAATGTTCATCAAAATTAATGGTAAAATGCAGAAGTCTAGTAACATCCCCTTCTGCTTGTGGTATGCAAGGTTACTAAAAGGTCTTGAGCCTCAGGGTTATTTTGAATCCCTTATGAGCTAGCCCGCTGTTCCCATCAGAGAAGCTATGGGTGCTACCTCACTTCCCCTGACCCACTCATCTGCCTCTGGAGTCTCCTCTCATTTCCCACCATCTCCTCCACTGTTCGGGACCTGTGGGACAACATTTCCAAACTTTTAGTGTGCCTGACCCCTCAACCTGCCTTTTCTTTTCCATCTCAAACACCTGATGACTTCAGATGCAGTTTAATTGTAATTTCAGATAAGCAATTTCGGGGTCCCAGGGTTCCAGGGCGGTGATTTTATTCAGTGTGCTTTCCGGCAGTTTACACGGTGTTTTGGGATTTGGGATCTGTTTGGTCAACAGCACCATAGATTCGAAAGTGTTTTTTTGTCTTTTCAACAGCAGCACCTTACACATATTTTGTAAATATCGAATCCCATTTGCTTGTGATAACCACAAACCTGGAATTCCAGCACTCAAGAGTGCAGGCAGGAGGACTGTGATTTTGCCACCAGCCCAGGCTCCTTCACCATACCTTGTCATCGCCACAGTTGGAGAGAAGGGGCAGGACGAAGGTTGGAGGTGGGAAAGGGAAGGGGTCAAGTGATACAATATTACTTCAGTTAAAAATAAATGTAAAATGCAAAAACCAACTTCTAAAGGTACCATAATATGAATCCATACATGTGTAGGAACATATATAAGCTATATATAAATGTATGTGTGACTATTTCTACATTAAAAACTATGTATACATAAGGGGAAAACACCACTACACATACACACACACACACACACACACACACACACACACACACACAGTCTACACAGCAGAAGTCTAAGCCTACCTTTGCTAAAGGAGATTCTGTTTGCAATGTTCCTGATGTGGTATACAAATATGCCATAAAATGTGGATGTAAAAATGACCTATTTCAACAAAAATAATGACATTTCATTGTAATACATCATTAATGACAATATACAGGTTTAATAGTTCATTAACAACAAAAACTTTCAGAATAATTAGCCTAAAGTGTAAATCTTACAAACCAAAATATCTGAAAATTAAATAGACTTGTCTTTTCATTATCTAGCCTGTGTTCTAATGGTATATTAGATACATACAAACTTAAAGATAATAATTAGGGCTAAAACGAGGGACCAGTATAGGGCTATGACAAATCATACATAGCAAACTGGTGCTAATGCCCACATCTTCTCATTTACATTTTAGTTTATATTAGCCACAAATAAATCTCATGGAATGACAACTTTAGTATTCGATAATGAGTAGAATGGGTTGATTATAAATCAGCATCAAATGGTTTTCATAAAATTACAAACCATCTCAAAATTCTTAACACTCATCTCTATTTCATCTTTTTAGAACTCTCTTTAGTTCCACGGCCCATTTTTAAACTCTTTGCTTCCTTGATGTTTAGCATTTTTGCTTGCTTAGTTGGTTTAGCTCTTTATATATCCTAGCTACTAATCTTCAGTTAGATAAGTAGCTGTTAAATATTTATTTCTCATTCTGTAGGCTTCCTCTTCACTCCAGTGACAGCGTTCTTTGTTGTACAGAAACTTTGGGTTCATGAAGTCCCATTCATTAGCTGTTGGTTTTAATGCTTCCAACTATTGACATTCTGTTCAGAGAGTCCCTTCCTATGCCAGTGAGTTCAGACATATTCCCTACCTTTCCCTGTGTCAGATTCAGTGTATCAGTCTTATACTGAAGTCTTAAAGTCATTTGGAGTTGAATTGTCTGTGGGCTGAGAAATAAGGCTTTAGTTCATTCTCGTCCATGCAGTGTTCCAATTCGACTAGCAACGTGTGTTACAGATGATGTCTTTTCCCCAATGTGCATGTTCGAACTCTTTATCAAACACCTGATAGCTCTGGGAGTATGGGCTTGTCTCGGCGCCCTCACCAGATAAACACAACAGACATCTACAGAACATCCCACCCAGACACTCAAGGATATACATTCCTCTACACAGTCAACAGAACTTTCTCCAAAATCAACTACATAGTACAACTGAAAGTCAGTTTTAACAAATATAGGAAAATGGAGCTGCCATCCCACATTCTTGGGTCACAAAGTAGTGAAACTGGACATCATCAACAACAGAAACTAGAGAGAGCACACAAATTCATGGACACTGTACGACAGACTACTGAGTCATTGAGACAGGGAATAAATCAACAAGGAGGTATGAAATTCCTAAAAGTGATAAATGAAAAAGAAAACACAGCTTTCTTAAATCTGTGGGACATAGAGGCAGTCCTAAAAGTAACTTTACAGCACTAAGGGCCTGCATCAAAGAATCTGAGAGATCCTTAATCACTAATTGACTACACCTGAAGGCCTTGGAAATATAAGAGCAAGTAATACCCCTAAACCAGATGGGAAAAGATACTCAAAATCAGGGTTGAAATTAAGGAAGTATAAATGAAAAAGAAACTACAAAAAAGTAGTGAAATGAAGAATTACATCTTTGAAAGGATTAACAAGATTGACAAACATTTGACCAATTTAACCTAAATAAAGAGAAAGTAGCCAAATAACAAACTTTAAGATGAAATGGGATCTATTATGACACTGAGGAAACTCAGAGCACCTTAAGAACACACATCTAAAATCTAAGTACCTTGCTAGCCAAATGTCCACTGGATCTTCAATACCAAACTGGAAATGTAAAAGATTTCATTCTGAATATACACAGTCTGCAAAACCACATCCAATGAGATAGCAACAGTAATTAAAAACCTCTAAAATTAAAAAAAAAAACACCTGGAGCCAGATGCCAGATGGATTTGGTGCAGAATTCTTCCAGACCTTGATAGAAGAACTAAAGCAAATGCTCCTCAAACTACTCCACAAAATAGAAAATGAAGAGACATTTCTGAATTATTTTTATGAAATCAAAATTACCCTGATACCAAAGTTGACATGGAAATATCCGACACAAAAAGAAAATTATGGACCTTTCTGTGATGAAACTGGATGCAAAATTTCTCATTAAAATACTTGGAAATCCATTTCAAGAATGCATAAAAAGATTACTCGCTATGATCAAGTTGGCTTTTATCACAGATATCCAAGGATGATTCAACAAACATCAATCAATAGGCATAAACCACCACATAAATAGACTTAAATCATCTCATTAGACATAGGAATGCATTTGAGAAAATAAAAGCTCTCCTCGTGTTAAAAGTTCTGGGGACTCTAGGGATAACGGAGACATATCTCTACACAATAAGTACCATTTAAATCAAGCCTACTGCCGACACCATGCTAAATGAAGAAAAAAACATTTCCACTAAAATCAGGCATAAGACAAGAAAGTCCACTCTCTCCATCAGTGGTCAAAACAGTACTTATATCCCCAGCTAGAGCAGTAAGACTACTGAAGGAGATGAAGGGTTACAAATTAGGAAAGATAAATCAAGTTAGCTTTATTTTCAGACAATACAATTGTATATATAAAAAACCCAGAGGATTCCACCAGAAAAACTCCACATCTGGTAAACAGAGTCATCATTTAGCAGAATACAAAACCAACATGTACACATACACACACACATCACAGACACTCACACACACATACACACACAAACAAACAAGTAGCCTTCCTATAAACAAATGCCACCAAGGGTAAATCAGAGAAACAAGACAATTAAGAATAGCCTAAAAAAATCTTTGAATAAATCTAAACAAAGAAGTGAAAGACTTGTAAAATTAAGACATTAATGAAAAAATAGAAAACGATATCAGAAAATAGAAAGACCTTCCATGCTCATGGGATGGTAGGATTAATATACTAAAAATGATCACACTACCAAAAGAAATTTACAAATTCAATAAAATCCTCCTTAATATTCCAAAATAATTTTTCACAGAAATTGAAAAATTCAACCTAAAATTTTATATGGAAAGACAAAAGACCCAGGATAGCAAAAACAGTCCTGAACAATTAAAAAAATCCAACAAACAAAACCCTGCTGGAGAAATAACCATTCCAGGCTTTAAGAGATACCACAGATCTACAGTAATAAAAACAGTATAGCACTAGCATAAAAACAGACACAAGAGCCTTTTAAAACCTCAGCTTTGTCTCTCAACTTGTCTTTGGCCAAAGTAAGAATCAGAGTCACAGATAAGCAACTTGATTTGTAGGCTCCAAGACAGAATGAACCCATTTAAACTACTCAAAAAGCAGTAACCAGGTTGCTTGCATCTGCGGTGTTCCCCTTTGGTCCCAAGAGCCATTGGAATATAGTATAGCGCCTTCAGGAAGTAGGGCCATGTCCTACTTTGTTTTCTGTTGTTGCTTTGATAAACACTGAACAAAGCCCACTTGAGGCCAGAAGGGTTTATTTGGCCTGTCTTTCCACATCAACATCTATCATTAGCCAGAGTCTGGGCAGGAAATCAAGCAGGAAACTGGAGGCAGTCACTCAAGTGGAGAGCATAGAAGAATGTGTTTACAGGCTTGCTCTCCCTGGCTTACTCAGCAGGCTTTCTTATGCAGCACAGGATGGCTTGCCCAGGAGTGGTAACACCCCTGGTGGGCTGGGCCCTAAAACATCAGCCAGCAATCTGAGGGGAGTAAACCCCAGGTCAGATTCCCTAGTCCAGGAATACCTGGGCTTGTGTCACACTGACCACAACTGACTAAGGCGGACCTGCATGCACTGTTCTAGATGACTGGGAGCATGTGCTCCTGAGGAGAACCTTGGGACCTTGTGCCTTCATCATCCTCTCTCCTACTTCCCAGATACTAGGCATGTGCCAAGGCCTTACTGCCATGAAGTTCTACCAAACCACAGACCCAAAAGCAACAGGACTAAGGAGCCGTACATGTAAACCTCCAAATTATCTGTAAACATTTTTAATTGACAAGTATCGAATTTCTGTGTTAATCACAGATAGCTAACTACCACATAGGTGTTGGCCCCTTCTCACAATTGTGCCCAGTGGGACAGGAGTAAGTTCAGATACAGATTGGGGGCTGGGAAGCCTGGGAGGAGAAGATAACCATCTCTTGATAACAGTTCCAAAGCTTCAAAGAAGAGTAAAGAAAAGAAGGTCACCATTTCCCTATTTGTGACAAATGTGGCTTATAAGCTCTTAATCAATAATATACTAATTTACATCTATTTATATGTATGCTTACTGATCTGCCCTTTGGAAACATTGATTAAATGTGACATAGAGGAGCCTTTCTGTATCATACTTTGATTACAACGTGGAAGGGGATACATAGTCAGATGTAGCAAAGCTGGCAAAAATGAGATTCCACGGTCATTGCCAATGTGCCTCAGACAAAATGCCTATGTGAGCAAGGACAGATCCTAATTGCAAATGGTATTTTCAGAATTCATAGAGAAGTCTCTGTAAAGGACCCTTACTACCTATTACACTCCATACTATGAAATCTTATACTGGATAATGTCAGATACATACCCACACTGAGAAATTGCACCCTGCACACTATCACAAAAGAACATTCCATTTCAAAACAGTGGACACATTTGTGTGTAGGGGGGACCTTTTTATGAATTTCTGTAAGTTTTATATAAAGACAAAATATAGAGAATGATGGAAGGCTGTATCCAAGGTTGATGCTACTGAATTCCTCACAGGATAAATGGAGAAAGGAGGGAAGTCAAGAATATACATTGGAGCAAAATGTGGCAAAACCATTTGAGCATAACAGAAATGTAGCCTGTCATCAAGAAACAGAAGCATATAAGCAGGGAACATGAGGCAGAGGTGGCAGGGGCAGAGCTAGCTCTGGGAGGGAGCTGGGCCTGGGAGGGGCTGGTGCTGGAGCAATTAGGGACATGCACACTGAGAATGCAGGGCTTCATTAGCTATAGCTGTAGGGGTCTTTACCCTTGTGAAGCCCATGACCACACAATGGGCATCCACTCACTGGTTTTGATAAGTCAATATTCATTCTCTGTCATCAATGTCCCAGGCAAGTTCTGCCTAGGCTTGCAATTTAAGCCGCACTGTAGTGTTCACAAGGTCTACCTGGTTTCCTAGGCTGGGATATTTCTCTGACCTGATTTCCATTTTTCTCCCGCATGTGCCATGTACTAAGTAAGATGCTTGAAATCCGATAAAACTATGCAAAACAAAATATGCAGGTGCAACTATAGCTTTCGCGACTGCATGCATGACTGTGCTTTATGGACTTTGATCATTCTCATTCATCTGATGTGTCTTAAGACATCATTAACTTAGAACGTACATTATTGGATTTAAAATCTCAGTTCCTCATGAATACTAAAGAAGATAAAGCATGCCAAGTCAATGGGTTATTTACACTCAACTTGGTGAATGGTTGAAGGACAGCTGGAAACAGCTGTGTTAGAGTGAGCACTTACTGTTTTTCAAGATGGAACGTGTATGCTTTGCCCTCAATTCTGACCAAGTAAGTGACCTGTGGCAAAGAGTCCAGACAGAGAGAAAGCCATTATTAAAAATGTCAACTCCTTAAAAGTAACAAGCTAAGATGGGTGTATATTCCCATTTCCTAAGACCACATTATAGTCTATATGTCCCAAAATACAAATGACTCCACAATATAGTCTCTACCATTTCTCACGCTTCTAACCCAAATATATCCTTTCCAGTTTATGCTTTATTCCTGCATTCCAGATTCGTCCTCGTTTTCTATTTGATAAGCAAAATGACCCACACACACACAAAAAAAACTGTAAGCTATATTTTTCTCACCTATTACTGTCATCACCTATTACCCTATTTCTGTTATCACTGAACCTAAAGGGGTAACAAATAAAATACAAATGTCTTCTACTACAAATTAACACCAGGACCATAGACACTCAAAAGAAGCCATGAAATATACCCACATTGTAAATGGTCATAGTCATAATTTGCAAGATTGATATATACAATTGACAATACAGGGCACATTTTTATTCCTATAAAATGGAAAATAAACAATTGGAAATGAAATTTTATAATGCCAGTTTCTATAGCCTGAGAGAATAAGGTGATATGGAGAGATTTTATCATGAAACCCACAGACAGGTACAAAGGACACACATGCCTGATACAAAGGGAAAATATGTATACATCTTGTTTCATAATCAATTCCATCACTTAAAGAAAGGGCATTAAAGTGGGGACCACAGGGAGCTGTGAGGGGGTGGGGTTGGTTATGATCAAGATATATCAAAAACATTTATGAAACCCTCAAAGACTAAATAAAATACCCATTTAAAATGCTAGGTTCATGGCTTGTAATGTGAAATATTATTGACTTTGTAGACTGAATATCATCTATTGTCAAATCCCAAGAGGCTGGCTGTAAAACTAGGCAAGATGACACTCATATTATATATTAACTTAAAGTAGCTGTTTCAGAATAGCAAAAGCAGAAAGACTGCAAGAAGTTTTGAAGACAGTATAGAATGATGATGATGATTAACTTTGTAGGAAACAACTTTATACTTGGAAAGAACTGAAAACATTCTCATCTACTTTGCCAAAATGTTTCTAGTGGGTCGTGCTTCCTGGTGGGTCATGTGGCAATGGTTCTGAGAAAATGTTCAAAAGGCTATATACTGCTCAGGGTACATACATGTATGAGGTAGCAATGGGGAGATGGAAAAACAATATTGGCATATAAGTCACTAAATATTCAATTCGTTAAAATTAGTACCTCAGACAGACACTCATTGTAAACGCCTCTGTATTGCTTAGAATAATGTTATGGCTTTTATACTTCACTGTTTTGTTTTCCAAGGGATTTACATATGTGTGCATATAGGCCTGGCGATTTTCATGTTATCAGTTTAAAAATCATAGTACAAGGTGAAATTTAGTGCAGTCTCAGGTATAAGAATATGTAATTAGTGTGTTTGTTTTTTCTGAATTCAGTAAGCCGTGCACAGCAGGCAGCCTCGTGGTGACTGGAAGGAAGAGCATTTAAGTCTGACATAAAACAGCTGTGCAAGCGTTCACACACTACTTGGAAAATGAAAGGAAACTGAGACACTATGCCCTCCCTCAGACCACCAGTCTTTAGCTTCCTAAATTAGTCATAAATAGAATTTCAAAGAGCCCTTGTAGGAATTCACTGATGTGGGCCAGAAGTCGAGCACAAATAAACAACCATCATTTTCCGCAAATCTGATTTCTTATTTACCTGCATTTGTGCCGCCTTGGCATCCTTGATGTTGCTCTCGATTTTCTGTGGCACTGTTATCTGCAGAAGTGGTGTTTCAGACTCTGCCGAGAGACACACAGTGAGTACATCCCAGCGCAGCAGTAAGTACCCTGCCTTGGCTAAGCTCTGCTCTAGCCAAGAAGAGAATGTTTGGGACATGCAGGGCTCTCTGTCTCTCTCGTTCCCTCTCCATCTCCCTCTCCTCCCACTTTGTGGACGTCCTCCTGATTGTAGAAAGTCAGCAAATGAAGGTCAGTGGTCTTTGGGCTGAGTCCTCCAACCACCAGGCAGAGATGGACTCCTGGACCCTGGAACTGGGTGGCTCTGGGCACCTTCATTAGCCCTTGTTCTGGACTTCCTGAGAGCAACTTCACTTTGAAGTCAGCATGGCAGGTGGCCCGTGGACAGGTGGTCTCCTGCCCAGCAGCATCTTCACTTACCCCGGCCCGCAATGATCAGTTGGCTCAGGCATGAGAGGACCAGGAACCAAGGCAGCATGGTGTGGCCACTGGCTTTGCCACAGTGATGGCAGTTGGTGCCAACAGTGGCAGCTCGTGGCCCCTGCACCTGGGCTCTTGGGAAGCAGGAATGGCAGAAACCAGCCAGAACCGGAAGTCGCAGCAGTACAGCTCTGTGCATCAGGGACCAGAGGCTAGAGGAGACAGCATTTTCCCTGCAGAGACCAAAGGATGCCTCGGAGCCACCTCCACAAAAGTGCTGGCTTCAGGGGAGCTGGGGCACCCTCCAAAGTATGAGATTTGTGATCACATAGACAGGATCTTTAGAAGAAAAAGAAAACAAGGAAGTACGATTATCCTGTAGAAATATATGGGGAGAAAAAAATTCAAAGTGAAACTTTAATAGTAAAGTTGATTTGGTGCCTAAGATGAGAAGACTACATGGGAATTGGAACTGAGATTGCAGTGACTACCGGGATAAATAGGAATCACAATGAGGTTTAAAAATAAAATACAATTCTGGGGTGTGGGGGGCAAATTGAGCGAATGGATCTTCCTCTTAGCGTCCACAGAATCAAGCAGAGTACGGAGGAGAAAGTGTGTTAGCACTAACATTGGTCAATGAAGAATATCTCAATGTGAGCTCCGGGAAGCCATTCTCCACAAAAGATTTCACCTATTTGTCAGATCCAGGAGGATGTGGGATCATGTAAAAATGAGATTTGCCCTCAGAAAAACAACAAGAAACCTTGACAAAGTTTCAGGCTACCCAGAGCTAAGACTGGAAGTCTCCCGGGAGAGAGTGCACCTGGGAGCTACACAGCTTAGGTTGCTGTTTGAGTTAAGGTTTCTGTTGCTGTGATGAGACATGGTAACCAAAAGCAATTGGGGATGGAAGGGTTTATATCACCCTTTCTGGTAACAGCCCATCACTGAGGAAAGTCAGGGCAGGTACTCAAACAGCAACTAATCCAGAAGCCATGGAGGACTCTATTTACTGGCATGCTCTCTAGAGCTTGCTCTGTCTGCTTTCTGACAGTACCCAGAAAGACCAGCCCAGGAATGGCAATCCACAGTGGATGGTGCACTCATGCATCACCTGTCGATCAAGGTCAATCAAGAAAATGCATCACAGGCTTGCTCAAGGTGGATGACAGACAAACACACCAGGCAGGCGGGGCCTAAGTGGTAAGTTTTATTGGGGGAAAGGGGGAGAGAGAGGGGGTGGGGAGACACAGAGAGACAGACACAGAGAAAGAGAAAAAGAGAGAGTGATAGTGAGAGAGAGCGAGAATGACAGTGAGAGAATGTGAGTGAGAGAGAGACAGGGAGTGAGGGAGTGAATGAGAAAGAGGGCAAGAGGGAGTGAGAGACAGTGAGTAAGACTATGAGTGAGTGAGAGTGTGAATGAGACAAGAGAGAGGGAGAGAAAGAGAGAGAGGGGGAGAGAGAGAGGGAGAGAGAGGGAGAGAGAGAGAGAGAGAGAGAGAGTGTGTGTGTGTGTGTGTGTGTGTGTGTGTGTGTGTGTGTGTGTGTAAGAGAATGTCCTGTCAGCCCCTTTAGAGGAACCGTGGGAAAGGGAAAGTGGGCAGAGTGTTCCTCCTAAAGAGACCTATGTGCATGCTTACAGAGCCAGGAGCACTGTGCCAAATTCTGAAGAGGCAGGGCCAGGTCTGCCTGGATTATAACAGGGGTGTTTTCTCAATAAGAGGTTCCTTCTTCCAAAATGCCTCGTCTTTGTGTCAGGTTGACATAGAACGAGCCAGCACAGCACTATCTTCCTGCGTAACTGGGTGGATGCCAACCCTCAGAAGGCAATGTACTTTACTGAAAACCAAGGCAGCCACTAAAGCACTAGGAGTTTGGTGTGGCTTCGTCTCTCCATACCTCCCCATGGGGTGATTTTTTTCTATCAATAAAAAGACCTTTGCTGGAAGCTGGAAGAACCACCATGCCAGCACTTAGGAAGAAATCAGGGGATATGGAAATGGGAGAGGTAGCCAAATTTTTCTTATAGGCCAAAAGAATGCAGCTTAGAAAGGAAAAAATTCTACCAGTGGTAAAGGTAGAAAAGAAATAAATGTTAGAAAATAATGTAAAAGGAAACTTCAATCAATCTTAGAAGATATAATTATTAAATTCATAGACTTAAAGTTGTTTTTTAATTGCAAAGTCAAAGATATTATACCAAAAGTTGGTTTGAGTGGCCACCCAAAGTTACCAATCTTTCTCTGAGGTCAACAGACCACAGGAAGGAAGGAAAGACTTCCCTAATTACAATGCAGGTTGCACATGCCACCATCTTCATCGTGCTGTGTAGAGTGACTGGACTGTACAGTAAGAGTGTGAAATGTGCTCTTTGGGTTATTCAAGAATGTTGTGGGAATAGTTAGACGCAGTGATTGTTATGTATAAGGAACATAGACTTACTGAAGGCTGGAGAGGAAAAGGTATTGGGAGAGCAAATGGAAATTTGAAGGAGAAAGGGTATATCTCTCCGTCGATCTGTGCTTATTCTTGGTAGTAAATGGAGAAACAGAATATTGATGCAGAAGCCTGCTAGTCAATAGCAAACTTCATTTTCCCCCAAATATGGAAATAATGAGACTAAGAAAATTTTGAAGATGAATAATTATGTCAGTTTTTTATCTTGGACATGTAATTTCTCATTTGGTAAATAAGAAGAGAGACTCAGTTTTCTTTAAGCTCCAGTGGATGGCCATACACTTGTGAGTTTACAAACAGGAGAAATTGAAATGAGTGGATGTTTTTCTTAAGACAAAGGGTGGGGTGGATATGGGAGGAGTTAGGGGTGGGATTGGAAGGTGAATGTGATCCAAATGTACTTACTGTACAAAATTCTCAAAGAATCAACACACTAGACATGTAGGTAAATGGATAGGTGGATAGATAGACAGATGACAAACAGATAACAAACAGCAAAGAATCATAAGATAGACAACAAGGCACATTTGACAAGGCAACCATCATTCTGGTGCCTTCTCTTAGTTTCTTTTCTGATTGCTATGATAAAATACCATGACAAAAGAAATCAGGGAAGGAATTTTTTCCTCTTTCATTATTTTTGTTAATTTACTTTTTAAATTCCAAACCCAGTTCCCCATTCCTTCTTTTCTCCTACTCCCTCCACTCCCTCCTCCTCCCATCTTTTCCATGGAGTGGGTAAGGCCTCCTATAGGAAGTCTACTAAGTCTGTCCCATCATCTAGTTGAGGCAGGACCAAGACACCTCTCCACCCTAACCCCACACCTCTGTGTCTAGGCTGAGGATGGTATCTCTTCATATAGAATGGGCTCCACTAAGTCAGTTTGTGCATTAGTGTTAGATCCTGGATCCAAGTCACACCATTGTCAGCTATATGAAGAGAATCCTAGTTTGATCTTATTCAGATTCCCCGTTGGTCACACCTGAATCAGTGACCTCTGGCTAGCTCAGGTCAGCTGATTCTGTGGGCTTCCCTATCATGGTCTTGACTCCTTTGTTTATATTTTTGCTCCTCCCTCACTTTGATTGTACTCCAGGAGCTTGGCCCATTGGTTAGTTGTGAATTTCTGCATCTGCTTCCATTTGTTTCAGGAAGAGGTGTCTAGCTTCTCTGGGGTTATGGATTGTAGACTGTGCATCGTTTGCTTTATGTCCAGTATCATACTTAAGAGTGAGTACATACTATAATTTGTCTTTCTGATTTAGGGTTAGCTGCACTTAGGATGGTTTTTTTCTAATTGTGTCCGATTTGCCTGCAAATTTTAAGATGTCACTTACCACTGAGTAGTACTCCATTGTGTAAACATACCACATTTTCTTTATCCACTCTTCAGTTGAGGTTCCCAAGATCTGACTATTACATATAATGTTGCTATTAACATAGTTGAGCAAATGTCCTTGTGGTGTGAATGTGCCTCTTTCAGATATATACCCAACAGTGGTAATCCAGGGTCTTGAGGTAGGTTGATCCCTAATTTTCTAGATAAATTAGCCATACTGATTTCCACAATGAATGTTCAAGTTTGCACTCCCACCAGCAATGGAGGAGTGTTCCCCTTTCTCCACATCTTCTCCAGCATAAGCTGTCACTGGTATGTTTTATTTTAACCATTGTGATCGGTGTAAGATGGAATCTCAGAGTGGTTTTGATTTGTATTTTCAGAGAAGAAATATTTAGCACACAGTTCTAGGTTACAGTACATCAATGGGGAAGATAATGCAGCAGAAACTTGAGGCAGATTTAGTCATATCCACAGCCAAGAGCAAAGAGAATGTGAATGTATGCACACTTGTTCTTGGCTCTCTTTCTCCTGATGGGGAATGGTACCCCCACAGTGGGTGTGCCTTCCAACCTCAGTTAACATAATCAAGATAATCCTCCCCAGGAATGCCCATGGGCCAACCTGAGCTATATAATCCTTGTGGTGGTTCCCTGTGCCTGTGAGTCTAGATTATGTCAAGTTAACAAAAATAAATCATCAGGATGCCTAAGTTAGACAAAAGTAGCACAAAAGTAAAGCTATATAGATGGATATCTCTAATAAAAATTAATGCAAATATTCAATAGAGCCATATGTAGTGGCTTGTACCTGTAATCCCAGCAACTGGGAGCCATGATGATCTTATTTTCTAACCCTCCCAAGGGTTGGAATTGTAGGTGTGTGTCACCATAGCTGACAAAGAGAGTTTAAATTGTAGATTTCCTATTGTGAGTAGATATATGATAATTGGTTGATTGTTTTCACTACTGTAGCTGAGAGGCTACAGACAGACCTATGTTTTGGGGAAGGGTATATGCTTCATCTAAATATTTTAATTTCCCAACTTTAGGTTATCCTAATGCCCAGAAAATAAGAATGATGCCATTTTACATAAATAATTCACAGACTTTCTCTTTGAGTTATGTAATAGTTTGTGTAAATTTTATGAACTTTTCAAAAAATCACCTTTTCTCTTTGCTTACTCCTTCCGATTTTTTTCTGTATGTATTTCTCTCTATTCTTCTTTCCATCCAGTGTCTTTGAGTACAATTAGCGTGACTTTTTCTATGTTGTTAGGGTTTGCAATAAATACACATGCTTTATGTAGCAATTTCATCTGAAGTAAACATTT